GATTGATTCATTCGAATTCAATTGATATTATTACCAATCGGCGTTCATTTTACTTTAGCTTTTTATTTCTATCGTAATTTTTATTTTTATTTTATTCTTTTTGTGTCTATCTTTAAGAGCTTCCTTGTTGTTATTTTCAGCTGTTTATGTGAAGAGTGAGAAATCTAGACCTACTACCTGTTGATCCTAAACCAGAACGCATATTTAGCATTCTCAGAGACATACAAAGAAATGAACGGAAAGCAATGGCAAAACAGAATGCTAGAATAGCCAATGAGGATAACCAACAAAGGGCTATTCAGGACTACATAAGGCCAGTTGTCAATGACAACTATTCCGGCATCGCACGCCCAGCAATTGCTGCAAACAATTTCGAATTGAAACTAGGGTTGATACACATGGTACAATAAAATCAGTTTGGGGGTGCTGCAGTAGAAGACCCAAATGCTCATCTTGGATCTTTTTTGGAAATTTGTGACACGATGAAGATGAATGGAGTTACTGAAGATACAATTAGACTTTACCTATTCTCTTTCTCTTTGAGGGATAAAGCAAAGGCTTGGTTCCAGTCACTACCGTATAGCTCAATTACAACTTGGGATGATTTGGCTTAGAAATTCCTCACCAAGTACTTTCCACCTTCTAAATCAGCTCAACTTCACAGTGAGATTAGCCAATTCAAACAACTTGACTTCGAGCCATTCTATAAAGCCTGGGAAAGATTTAAAGACCTGCTTAGGAGATGTCCTAAACATGGGTTCCAGAAATGGGTGCAAATTGAGATATTTTATAATGGACTAAATGGGCAGACAAGGACTATGGTAGATGCAGCTGCGGGAGGCATTTTAATGGCTAAAACAGCAGAGGCTGCCTATGCTTTATTGGATGACATAGCCACCAACAGTTACCAATGGCCAAGTGAGAGATCGAGCGTAAAGAAAGTAGCAGGACTTCATGAAGTGGATCCCATCACAGCACTAGCAGCTTAGGCTACATCACTCACAAATCAGATAATCATGCTTACCACTCAAGGAAATCAACAGAAGGTAGATTCAGTCATGAGTAATTCTTCATCACACCAAGAGACAGAGGTTGCAAACGAGCAGGCCCAATATGTCAACAGTAGAAACTACAATCAAAGAGGAAGCTACCAAGCTAATCACTATCATCTAGGGCTGAGGAATCACGAGAACTTGTCATATGGCAACAATAAAAACACACTTCAACCTCCACCCAGATTCAACACTCAGAATTCTGAAGGGAAACCATCCTTGGAAGACATCCTTGGGACATTCATTTCTAAGACAAGATCACGCTTCAACAAAGATGAATCATGGTTGGATAATATTGAAACACATGTGTCCAACATGGGAGACACAATGAAGAATCTTGAAGTGCAAATTGGTCAGTTGGCTACCTCAAAGAAGTCTCAGCAACAAGGAAAATTTCCAAATGATACAGAAGTCAACCCAAAGGAGCACTATGAAGCCGTTGTATTAAGGAGTGGCAAGCAAGTTGGAAAAAGTGAACCCACCGAAGATAGAAACCCAACACCTGATAAGGAGAAAGAACAAGTAGTAGAAGAGCAAGAAAAGCAGGCCAAAAGAACAATAAGGCTCACAGACCTTACTCTATATCCTTCCATGACAACCTACCAATTCTCACACCACCACTTCCATTTCCACAGCGTTTTCAAAAGAAAAAATTTGATGATCAATTTGTAAAATTTTTAGAAATTTTCAAGAAAATTCACATTAATATTCCTTTTACAGATGCTTTGGAACAAATGCTAAAATATGCAAAGTTTATGAAGGAGGTGATGTCAAAGAAGCAGAATTTGGACGAATATGAAACAGTAAAATTAACAGAAGAATGCAGCGCTATTATTCAAAAGAAACTTCCTTAGGAGAGAAAAGATCCGGGAAGTTTCACTATTCTATGCACCACTGGAAGCTCTTTCTTTGAAAAGGCCCTCTGTGATCTAGGAGCAAGCATCAACCTAATGTCGTTATCAGTATTCAAGAAGTTAGGCCTCGGGGAAGTCAAGCCAACATCAGCGACTCTACAACTGGCTGATAGGTCCCTCACTTACCCACGAGGTATTATTGAAGACGTGTTAGTAAAGGTCGACAAATTTATCTTCCCAGCTGATTTTGTGGTATTGGATATGGAAGAAGATCAGGAAATCCCACTGATTTTAGGTAGGCCATTTTTAGCAACTGGAAGAGCATTAATTGATGTGCAAGGAGGACATTTAACATTGAGAGTGAATCAAGAATAAGTGAGGTTCAACATCTACCAAGCAATGAAGTACTCTGACGACACTGACACATGCCACATGATTGACTTCATTGATTCTGCTGTGAGCGATGAGAAATTATATATTGAGGATCCCTTGAAGCAGTGTATGATGTTTAGTTTCACAAAGGATGACATCAGCTCTTCTGGAGAATATCCAGAGAGCAAAGACCTGGTTGATTGCATATTGGCTCTAGAGTCTACACCAGTTGAAAGCAACCTATCACAGTGTGAAGATATTCAGAAATCAGAGGAATCAGATGATAAAGAAAGTAGCGAAATCAATAAGATTGAACTGAAGCAATTACCAGATCACCTCGATTATGCATTTTTGGGGACAATTTTGCATTTCCAGTGATCATTTCTTCATCACTCACCAGGGATGAAGAGGACGGATTATTGAAAGTGTTGAGGGATCACAAGGCTGCTTTACGTTGGTCGATAGCTGACATCAAGGGAATAAGTCCTACAGTCTGCATGCATAAAATCCTCATGGAAGATTCTTACAAGCCATCCATCGAACATCAGAGAAGGTTAAACCCATCAATGAAAGAAGTGGTTCGAGCAGAGATACTAAAGCTATTGATGGCAGGAATCATTTTTGCCATTTCAGATAGTGAATGGGTCAGCCCAGTGCAAGTGGTACCAAAGAAAGGAGGGATGACAGCTAATTCCAACAAGAACAGTAATTGGCTGGAGGGTGTGCATTGATTACAGGAAACTGAACAAGGCAACTAGAAAGGGTCATTTCCCACTCCCGTTCATCGATCAAATGTTGAACACATTAGCTGGCTACTCTTAGTATTGTTTTCTTGATGGATACTCGGGCTACAAATATATTGCTATAGCACCAGAAGATCAAGAAAAGACAACCTTCACTTGTCCATATGGAACTTTTGCCTATAGACGGATGCCATTCGGGTTATACAATGCACCGACCACTTTTCAGAGATGCATGATAGCAGTCTTTGCAAACATGGTTGAAGACATCATGGAGGTATTTATGGATGACTTCTCGATGTTTGGTACTTCTTTTGATAATTGCCTGCACAATCTTTCCTTAGTGCTACAATGCTATGAGGAAAAGAATTTAGTTCTAAACTAGGAAAAGTACCACTTTATGATACAATAAGGAATTATGCTAGGCCACCATGTTTCAGCGAGGGGATTGGAAGTGGACAGGGTGAAAATTGATACAATTGCAAAGCTACCACCACCCACCAATGTCAAAGGCATTTGAAGTTTCTTAGGGAACGCTGGATTCTACAAAAAATTTATCAAAGACTTCTCAAAAGTGACAAAACCCCTATGTAATCTTTTGGAGAAGGACACAACATTCGTATTTGATGAAGACTACTTACGGGCTTTTGAAACCATAAAGGCAAAATTAGTCACTGTTCTAGTGATGGTTGCACTAGATTGGAATCAGCTATTTGAGGTTATGTGTGATGCCAGTGACTACGCAGTAGGGGTGGTTTTGGGACAAAGGCATGATAAGATTTTTCGGACACTCCACTATGCCAACAAAACTCTTAATGGAGCTCAACTAAATTACACCACAACAGAGAAGGAAATGCTAGCAGTAGTGTTTGCATGTGACAAATTCAGATCCTACCTCATTGGCACCAAAGTGATAATTTACACGGACCATGCTGCAATCCGTTATCTCTTTGAAAAGAAGGATGCCAAGCCATGCCTAATTCGATGGATATTGCTACTACAGGAATTTGATGTAGAGATTCAAAATAAGAAAGGTAGTGAGAATGTCGTTGCAGACCATCTTTCACGGTTAGAGAATGAAAAGGTGGTGGATGACAGTCAAATTCGAGAAACTTTCCCTGACGAGATCTTGCTAGTTGTATCAACAAAGATCCCATAGTATGCTGATTTTGTTAATTATTTAGTGTCTGAAAGATTGCCACCTGACTTGACCTTTCATCAAAAGAAAAAATTCCTCCATGATGTCAAGTCATATCTGTGGGATGATCCAATATTGTTCAAAAGGTGTGCTGATAGAATAATCAGGCGGTGTGTCCCTGAGGAAGAAACACAATCAATCATGTAGCGTTGCCATTCCTCACTTTATGGAGGTTATTTCGGTCCTATGCATACTGCTGCAAAGGTATTGCAATCCGGTTTCTATTGGCCAAATCTGTTCAAAGACTGCTATGCTTTTGTGAAGACATGTGACTGTTGTCAACGTACTGGAAACATTTCAAGGCATCATGAGCTACCATTAACTAATATGCTCGAGGTGGAGTTATTTGATGTGTGGGGTATTGATTTCATGGGTCCGTTTCCATTCTTCTTTTAGTCAGGTATACATTCTCCTTGTAGTTGACTATGCATCTAAATGGGTTGAAGCCATTGCTTCACCAACAAATGATGCAAAGGTGGTTTTGAGGTTTCTACAGAAAAATATCTTTACTCGTTTTGGCATGCCTAGGGCAATAGTAAGTGATGAAGGTACACATTTCTGTAACAAGCTGTTCAATTCTCTTCTAGCTAAGTATGATGTCAAGCACAAGTTGGCACTTGGTTATCATCCACAGTCAAATGGGCAAGCAGAGGTGTCTAACAAAGAGATTAAACAGATTTTGGAAAAGCCAGTGAATACCAATCGAAATGACTGGTCTCTCAAACTAGATGATGCTCTTTGGGCATACCGAACAGTCTTTAAAACACCAATTGGAATGTCACCCTACCGTCTGGTATTCAGGAAAGCTTGCTGTGAAGAAATTGAATTTAGACATGAAATTGGCCGGTCCACAACGCTTGTTGCAGCTTGATGAGTTGGAGAAATTTCGGAATGATGCATATGAAAATACAAAGATATACAAGGAACGGACAAAAAAGTGGCATGACAAGAGAATCCTAAGTAGGGATTTCAAGGCAAGAGAACGAGTTCTTCTATTCAATTTTCGTTTGAAACTCTTTCCTGGCAAGCTCAAATCCCGGTGGTCGGGACCATTTGTAATTCGTAAGGTGTTCTCTTATGATGCAGTGGAGTTAGTAAGCATGGATGGGTCTACCTTTCAGGCAAATGGACAACGCCTCAAGCATTACTATGGAGAGGAAAATCGGGATGTGGAAGAAATTACCCTTGATGAACCAACTTAACACCACATTCACGTCCAGCTAAAAACGTAAGAGAAGCGCTTATTAGGAGGCAACCCAAGTTCTATTCCTTAATTTTCTTTTCATTATTTAGACATGTTCTTTTCTTCTTAGGCAAATTTGGTAAATTATTTTTCTTTTTATTTTGTAGGGTCATGCTCAAAAATGGTTGCACCGACACTCAAGTCAATATGGAAAGGGAGTACGTTGGAGGTATATGAACAAAAAAATAAAAAATAAAAAAAATATTTTTGATCTTACTTCCTTTTCCGAATACATGGCGCCGTGGCGCCCATTTTGGGCGCTGCAACGCCAACTCTAAAAAAAAAAAAATTTAACAGCGACTTTGGCGCACTCTTGTTTTAAAAAACAAACACGATCCCTCTTTCTTTTTATCTCCCTATCCCCAAACCATTTTATTCTTTTCCTCTCTCAAGTCTCCCCCTCTTCGTCCCCGCACTTGCACACATCTAATTTTCTCATATTACCCTACCTTTACACACATTCACATCTATAACAAGCCATATCTTAGAATTGAAGGGTTATTGACTAGTTCTTCAAAGAAAGTACGTTCTTTTAAATTGCAATTTTATATCCTTTGGCTTAATTTGAACTTCTAGTAGTAATCTTATTTGGGGCTACGTCACATTCTCATTTTTCTTTGTTGGATTTTGCTTTAGTAAAGATTGTGTGGGTTTTTGTTTTTATCTTCGAAATTATTCTGTTGTATGCCTACAATGTGTTTATCCTTTTGCCTCTTTGACGCTCTTTGCCAATGTTGGGCTCTATGTTAGAAGACTTTGCAAATTTCTATGGGCTTGGATTTTCCTAACTATTGATTTATTGTCTTGCCCACAAAGTGTTTGATAAATTTCACCAAAGACTTCTTTTGTGCTGTTCTTGGGATATTTTTGATGGCTTGCATTAGGCTTTCTACTTGATTATTCTAGCCACCAACCACATGTTCGATATATTGTTTCATTAAGATTTTCGTGCCTACTTGGGACACACTTCATTTACTAAGACAAATTCATTGAATTGGTTTAGGTGGCCGGTTAACTTCACGTGATATTGGAAAGAACACTTACTCCATGCCTCCTAAAAAGAAATCTAAGGTCACTGCCTCTTCCTCTACTACAACGTTTGATCGAAGACGATTCATTAGTTCCGAAGTAGAGGAACGCTATAAACAGAGTGAGATACATCGAAATTGCATTCTTGAGAGGGGCCTTGAAAATTTTTTGCCCGATAAAATACACAGTTTGGGATGGGAGAAGTTTACCGAGCAACCTACAGCTGCATCCATTCCTTTGGTGAAAGAATTCTATGTCAACGCCAATGAACACGAGAACTTCAAAGTTTTTGTCCGCGGTTTTTGGATCAAGTTTGACAGTGCTTCAATTAACAGGTTCTACCACACGCGGGATATACCCAATGATGACTATTCCCAACTACGCGATGAGGGTGTCAATCCTGAAGAGATAATTCGCACTATAGCTTGCCTCGGTACTGAATGGAAAAGATCAATTAGTGATGTAACTCACTTCCCTTCCTCTGGTCTGATACCTAACTGTAAAATTTGGCACCACTTCATATCATCCAAACTGATCCCCAATAGCAACACCAGTGAGGTCACCAAGGAACGAGCCTTACTGAGTTTTGTGATTCGGAAGGAATATTCTATTGATGTTGGCAGAGTCATTCTAAACAGCATTCTTCGCATCATAGTCGGGCCAGCTACAGATAGTTTGGGTCACCCCTCTTTGATTCATGACCTTTGCATACACGGGGGTGTTCTCGTGTGAGAAACTGATGAAGTGTTATACCCGGAACAACCACTTACATGGGAACTCCGTGATAGGCGTGTGGGACATCGGAACGTGTCTGACTCTTCTCAGTCATCTCATCCATTACCTCCTACACCACCACCTCCACAACCTTCTGATGCTACGGAGGACATCCTTCGACGTCTTGAAGTCATGGATTTGCGCATGACCCGATGGCAGGATGGCATGCAAGTACAAATGAATCATCTACAATCCACCATCTTTGACCAGTTTCATTATCAAAACGCTTGCATGGCGGTCATGGCATCTGCAAACCCCGAGCTCACCTTCCCTCCACCGCCATCATTTCCACCTCATTACACCCTCCTGCTCCACCTGATGTCGAGGAAGACAGCTGATGTCTTCACTGAGGTATTTCTCTTCCCCTTCTTCAATTTTCACATTGAGGGCAATGTATAGTTTAAGTTTGGGGGGGGGAGTGTATTATAAATTGTCTAAAATTGCCTAGTTTTTTATTTTGTGTGATTGTGTGCATTTTTTTTAATTCATTTACGTTTTTTTATTATTTTATTTTATTTGTATGTTTTGTTTTTAATTTCTTATTTGTGTGCATTTAAAGAAAAAATAATAATAATAATAATAGTAAATAAATAATTTCATTTCCTGATTTGCATGCTTGTGTGAGTTAGATAGCCTTGCCGATATTGATTTGTGTAATTGAGAACATGCGTTGAATTATGGGTTATGGATAAGTTATGTGCTTGAATTAGATTTTTGCTTATTTATGTAAAACGAAAATTATTTTTGCACGTGAGTTGATTGTGGCGTTGTGCATGAGTAGGTTGATTCATGTTTATAGATTGGATTAAAGAACTTAGATGCTAAACCCAAACAACCTTTGAACATCATATTACCTTTAAACCAAATATAGGATGTTTGGTAGATTAATCTGTTGTAGGGAAACTTGGAGATAAATGTGGATTCCATGTGTGCTAAATTTTGTGTGGATTGTCTGAAAATTGGGTGAAAACCTTAAGTTAGAGGTCAATTTTCAAGAATATGTTTTTAATAAGGGGCATTAAACTAATCATTGCATAAAAAAAGATCCCAATGAGAACAACTTTAATAATTTCATTGTGAATCGTCTCTTCGTAGCCTTTATGACTCGAGTGATTAAGCCTGTAAGGGTTTAAAAACCTGGTGCCCTAAAGTGATCTGATTTGGGAGTCATCGACCTAAAGCTTGCTACATGGTTCATTTAGAAAGCTTAAGAGAGTGACGTCCACACAAAAGGTGTTTAAAGAATAAATTTATATTTGAAAAAAAAATAAAGAAAAGAAATTTGATATCACATGCCTTGATTAAGCCCCGAACACTTGTTTTAAAGGATTAGACCTTTGATAAGGGGTTAGTAACTTGGTTGATTCCTAGAGGTTGAAGCAGTCAAAAATAAGGAGAATCCTCATCTGTTGATATGTTGAACTGCAATAGTGAAATCTAACCAAATTTGAGCGGTGTAAGAAATTAGTATTGAAAAATCAACTTTAGAATACACCTTGGGAAGAAAAAAGAAAACAAATTTGGGGGTGTGTGAATCCCACGAGCGAGGCAAGGAAATATTTGACTTTTAAGGTTGGAAATTGGGTCAATTTATTATTGTACAGCGTTGCGTTTAACTCTCCACTCACACACCCGTTTACATTGAATAGGCGAGAATTTGACGCTATGTTTTTAATCTTGAGGCAAGGTGTCTAACATAATGTGTTTTTTAAGTGATTTTATTTGTTTTAGTTGTCCTTCTGTGTTTGTTAATGATTTTCTTTAGTTTGGTATTTGCTCGAGAACAAGCAAAGAACTAAGTTTGGAGGTGTTTGATGAGTGTAATTCACTCATTAAACTAAAGCTTCTAAATCACGTTTTTTGATTTGTTCTTGGGCACTTTTGAACCTTTTGATGTGTGTGTTCGTGTTGTTTTGCAGTTTGGACAACTCTCAAGAAATTACCACAATTTGGAGCTTGTGATGAGCAAAAATGATGATCTTTGAAATGGAGCATGAATAAGCAAGTAGTGAAGAAGATCGGAATGGAAAATAGGCTCGGAAAATGAATAGGAGTGTTGCACGGCAGTACCATGGGCGCCACGGTGCCCAAAAGAAACCAATGATCCAACAGTGGGCTTGGCACCACGGTGCTAGACCTAGGCGCCATGGCGCCCAACGAGAGGAAACATGAGCAGTAGCACTGCCGCCACGGCGCGAGACTTGGGCGCCGCAGCGCCACAGCGCCACACATGGGCGTCGCAGCGCCGGATCTCGAAACGCATAAAATTCGAATTTTTAATTATTCCTCGGCCCAAGAATCGTACCCTAACCATTGAGGACTCCTAGAGAATGTAAATACCAAGATGAAGACCTAGATGAGGGGTTAGACGGCTGAAGAGGCAAGAGGCAAATGAAGCACCAATTGGGAGAAGATTGGCCCGATTTGGAGAAGAAATCAAGCAGCAAACTGAGTTTTTTCTTATCTTTTTCTTCTCCATGCACTTTAGTTTGTATTTCATTGCGTTTTTCTTCTCCATCATGAACTAAACTTTTAAATCTAGGGTTTGATGTAACCTATTTGAGACATAATTTAATTTCTTTATGGTATTTCCGTTTTTTTTTCCAGAATTGATTTGTATTGTTCTTGCTTAATGCTTTCAGTTGCCTGATCACCAATTAAATGAATTGATGCTCTAAATTTGATGCTCGAGAGAGGGAAATTTAGGTGTAATCTAAGAACAATATAACCTAGATTTGTAGGTTTCAAGAGAAAATGCGAATCTTTGAGGGTAAAACAAGAACCAAGTGCTTGATAATCTTTATAAATTTAATTCGGAATAGAGATATTGGGGTTAAAATATAGAGATAGGTTCTATTTGACGCTTGAGAGAGGGAAATAGAATTAATTTAGGAATCATGCCTATGAATTTGGGAAATGTTGATAGAAATATCTATAGGGGTTGAGAATTATGTCAATAATATGGTGAAATCACTCCCTAGATGTTACATAATTCTGATTTAAAATTTAGAAATTGCCTCGCTTTCCTTGCATTATTTAATTCATCAACATTAGTTTAGCATTCAAACATCAATTTAACATCCGATTGTCTAGATAAAGTAAATGCGGACACAATTATAGTACTCATTAGAAGTCGAATATCAATCCATGTGGGTTTGACACTTTTCAATTCCTTAATTTACTACAAAACTTGACATCATACGCTTGCGGTTAAATCACGTTACATAAAATGCATGGCAACCCCTACAACGTGCTCAAATTGCTATCAAAAACTACTAAAATTATGAAGTGAAATGGGAGTTAATCTTTACTGAACATATTGAGGAGTTCCTTTCTAAGTGGGAGCAAGCAAAATCGTTCGGATATAATGAGGAGACAATACCATCTCATAAGTACTATACGGACCCAATGGAGAGACGTGGCTTACTTCATGAGGGATCAGAATTATGGGCTGTATTTGGAAGAAAAATGGGATATGATCAATTTTAAAGGATATTGTCAAGATATCATAATTCTATGGAAGCACAAGAGCTAGTGCCAGAGCTCGAGCCCGAGCCAGGGCCAGAGGAAGAGCCTGAGGAGAACCAAGAGGAAGAGCTTGAGGAGGCCCAGAGAAGATAATCGAACTAGAGCCGAAAGAACCTAAGCAAGAATTCGAGCCACAATTTCATTAATTTGGTTACAGATTCTGAGCCAGAATCATGCATTACTTCAGACGATGAGACTCCACCAAAATAACATTCTTAGGACTCATAAAAATCAGATATATATGTTATTTGCTTACTAAGGAAAAGTTTTTATTTCTTATTTGGTGTTATTTTTAAAAACAAAATACTATATGTAAAGATTTGGAAATTCATAAGTTTTTCGCCATTATAAAAATTATTATTTTTATTATTATGGTTATTTTTTTGTTATCAAATATTTCTAAATTAAAATTTTATTTGTGTTAAGAAAATGGCAAGACGACAACAAACCAAGCTACGGTCATTAAGGATTTGTTGATGGATGTACAAGATATGGGTAGACAACAAGCACAAGTTGGTTCCCAAAATGCAAACATTAACAACACCAGCTCAATTGTGGAATAGTTTCATCGATATAAACCTCCAACCTTCGATGGCAAGGCAGACCTTCTGGCAGTTGAGGAATGGATAAGAGAGACGGAGCGAATCTTCAAATATCTGTCTTGTACTGATGCTAAGAAGATATTATGTGCAGAATTTATGTTAGTTGATGATGCAAGCCACTAGTGGGAGTCAGCATCGTGTACCAGAATAGAGGCATAACAACGTGCTCTGACTTGGACACAATTTAAGGACGAGGTGATGGGAAAATACTTCCCACAAGCTCTAAGAGATCGAAAGAAGACATAATTCCTTCAACTTAAATAGGGAAAGATGAAGCTTGAAGATTATAAGAAAAAGTTTGAGCAACTTTCTATGTATGCATCATGCCTGGAGAACACAGAAGCAAAGAAAGCAAAGAGGTTTGAGTTGGGATTGTGCCCTGAGACTGGTAGAATAATAGCATATCACCAATTCACTACCTATAGCCAGGTATTGTAGACTGCCCAGGCAATCTCAAATAGGTTCAAGATTGGCCAAACTTCCCAGTAAGGGGCCAAGTCTTCGGAAACATGGAAATGGAATGGGCCCAATGAAGAAAAAAGAGAAGGATAGAACAAGAAAGTCAACTTTGGATCGAACTTTGGCCGAGTCGTCTTACCCTATCCCAAGTGCAACAGGATGCATGGCGGTAAATGTTTGCTCGGGAAACACATGTGCTATCGATGTGGCAAAATAAGTCACATTTCCAAAAATTACAAAGAAGACACCTTGAAGAAGAACGATGAACAAGAAAAGAAGGGAAAGGCCTGAATTTTTGCTTTAGCCCAGGAACGGACAACAGAAGACCCGAACATAGGTAATTTTAAGGACGATTTCTTCTAAGGGGGAAGATTATAACAAAAGAAATTTTTTTAAAAATAAATAAATAAGAAAATTTATTGTTATACTTTTAAAAAAGGACAAATGAAATATATTTTAAATTCCTATTTTATCCAAAGTCAAATAATTAGATTTTGATAAGAAGAAATGAAATATATTGTTATTGGATAGGGATGTTAGTTCTTTTAGATTGAATAAAACAACAATAAAATACAATATTTGTTTTATGATACACGCCACCTTAGATTTTACTCTATCAAATAAATTTTGGATTTATCAATTAGTTTAGCCTACACCTATATATAGGTATGATTGGAAATCTAAAAGTTGCATACATTATTGTCAATCAATATACTTTCACCGAAGTAGAGAGGTTGAGAAAAGAATTTGGGGACGACCAATTATATTTCATTTTATTTAACAAGCTAAGATACTTTTATACAATTTCTTTCATTTCCTTATGCTTTTATATTCAATTATATATGAATCAAAGTTGTAGCTCTTTGAGTTAGCTTTCCAACGCATCTTGAATCACCTCAATCGTACATCGGACGAAAAAGTTATGCTAAAAATACTGAAGGACGCACAGTTTGTCGTTTCCAACTTAACTGAGCGCCGATGCGCACCCATGAATCTGAATTTGAGCAGCAAGCCCAGCACCACAGCGCCCATATTGGGCGTCGAGGCGCCGAATATGCGGGAAAATGCGTTTTTATATTTTTGGAATCTTTTCTTGGCCCAATTCAACCCTAATTCGTCCAAGATCCCAACATAGTATAAATGTCATTCACAAAACCCTATTTTGAAGAAGAAGAGGATGGGCCAAACACAACAATTGAATGGGCAAGATTGAAGACAATTCATCAAGGGCAAGGAGGCATGAAGAATATCAAGGGAAATTCCAATTAAAAGGTTCAAAAGAGTTCTTCTTTCTTTTTCTCTTTATGTTATTCATTAATTTGTTTAGATTTAATTCTTTCACATGGACTAAACATTAATTCTAGGGTTTGATGTAACCTACTTAGACATGTTTTGATTCCGAAATAATTATTTTATTTCATCTTTTCGCTTATTTATTTATGTTGATCCTTGTGCAATGCTTTCAATTAATTGGCTACTAATTGAATGATTTGATACTTTAAATTTTGGCACTCGAGAGAGGTAAATTTAGGCGTGATCTAAGACAACATAACCTAAATTTTGTAGATTTCGAGAGAAAATGCGATATCTTTGAGGCTTGTTTAAATTAAGAACCAAGTACTTGATGATTTTATGTTTAAGATCGGAATAGAGATAGGGGATTGATTCATTTGAATTCAATTGATATTATTATCAATTAGCTTTCATTTTAATTTAGATTTTTATTTTCACGTTAATTTTTATTCATTTTATTTCTATTTCCAATAGCCTCTTTGTTTTTATTTTCAGCTGTTCATGTGAAGAATGAGAAATCTTGACATACTATCCGTTGATCCTAAACCAGAATGCATATTTCACATTCTAAGGGGTATACAGAGAGACGAACGAGAAGTAATGGAAGAACAAGATACAAGAGTGGCTAATGATAACAGTCAACAAAGAGCTATTCGTGACTACATCAAACTAGTTGTACATGACAATTACTCCAGTATCACACGCCTAGCTATTGCTGCAAACAATTTTGAGCTAAAGCCAGAGCTAATACACATGGTGCAGCAGAATCAGTTTGGAAAAGGTATAATAAGAGATCGAAATGCTCATCTGGGGTAATTTCTGGAAATTTGTGACACTGTCAAGATGAATGGTGTTACTGAAGACGCTATTAGACTCTGCTTATTTTCATTCTCCTTAAGAGAAAACTAAAGCATGGTTCCAATTTCTACCATATGGATCCATCACAACATGGGAGGAATTAGCTAAGAAGTTTCTTATGAAATTATTCCCACCTTCGAAGGCAACGCAATTGAGGAGTGAAATTGGGCAGTTCAGATAGTCAGACTTCGAGCCATTCTATGAAGATTGTGAGAGATTCAAAGATGCATTTAGAAGATGCCCTTAGCATGGTTATCAGGATTGGGCACAAATCGAACTCTTCTACTATGGGTTGAATGCTCAAATATGGTTAGTGGTAGATTCTGCAGCGGGAGGGGTTTTGTTGTCCAAGTGTCCATATCAATGGCCAAGTGAGCATTCGAGTGTAAAGAGAGTTGCTGGCCTTTATGAGGTAGATCATATTACAGCCCTTGCAGCTCAAATGTCATCTCTCAATAATCAAATAGCTGCATTGACATCACAAGGAACTCAAAAGAGACCCGAATCTATTATGGCTGCATCCATGGCATATTAAAAGGCTGGAAGTTTGAACAAGTTCAGTATGTAAATGGTAGAAATTTCAATCAGAGAGGAAAGTATTCAGCAAACCAATATCATCAAGGACTACAAAACCATGAGAAACTCTATTATGGCAACAATGCAAATGTACTTCAGCCACCACTTGGGTACAATAAAATAGCTGCATTGACATCACAAGGAACTCAAAAGAGACCCGAATCTATTATGGCTGCATCCATGGCATATTAAAAGGCTGGAAGGTTGAACAAGTTCAGTATGTAAATGGTAGAAATTTCAATCAGAGAGGAAAGTATTCAGCAAACCAATATCATCAAGGACTGCAAAACCATGAGAAACTCTATTATGGCAACAATGCAAATGTACTTCAGCCACCACTTGGGTACAATAATCAGGCATCTGATGGAAAGCCATCATTGGAAGACATTTTGGAAACTTTCATTTCAGAGACTAGGTCGAGGTTCAACAAAGATGAGTCCAGGCTTGATAACATTGAGACATATATGACCAACGTGGGGGCCACAATGAAGAATTTGGAGGTACAAATTGGTCAGATAGCAACTGCGATACAGTCCCAATAGAAAGAAAAATTTCCCAGTAACACAAAGGTTAACCTAAGGGAACACTGTAATGCTATCATCTTAAAGAGTGGTAAAGTAGCTAAAGAATGCAAGCCTAGAGAGGTTGTGGTGCCTACATCGAATCCCATACTTGCAATGGAAAAATAGACTGAAGGGCAGAAAACTGAGGCAGAGGTAACAAAGAAGATTTATAAACCTTACTCAATTTCATTTTCAGACAACCCACCTATCTTGAAGCCCCCACTACCATTCCCACAAAGATATTTGAAGAAAGAGTTTGATGAGAAATTCACAAAGTTTCTAGAGGTCTTCAAGAAAATCCACATCAACATTCCCTTTGCAGAAGCCTTAGCCCAAATGCCTAACTATGCCAAGTTCTTAAAGAAAGTGATGTCAAAGAAGAGAAAGTTGGAGGAGTTCGAGACTGTTAAGCTGACAGAGGAGTGTAGTGCCATCCTTCAGAAGAAGCTCCCTCACAAATTGAAAGATCCAAGCAGCTTCAACATCCCGTGCAATATTGGTGGTATCACATTTGATAGGGCACTGTGTGACCTTGGAGCTAGCATAAACTTGATGCCCTTATCAGTGTTTAAAAAGTTGGGTCTTGGAGAAATGAAACCCACAACCCTCACCTCGCAAATGGCGGATAGACCGATCACATATCCAAAGGGCATTATTGAAGATGTGTTGATGGAGGTTGATAAGTTCATATTTCCGATGGATTTTGTGGTGTTGGACATGGAGGAGGATGAGAAAGTACCATTGATTCTTGGCCGACCTTTCCTGGTTATTGGAAGAGCATTGATTGATGTTCAAGAAGGAAAGTTGACACTACAAGTTAATGAAGAGCAAGTAACTTTCAACATCTATCAAGAAAAGAAAGTCCTAGAAAAAGGAAAAGTTAACACTTTCAAAATGATCCAATCAGCTGAAGTAATTGCAGGAAACAAAGGAAAAGGGGAATTATTTTATAATCCGTTAGTGCAATACATGGCAATTAGTAACTCAGAAAGGGATTCATCTATTTCTATACTTTAATTCCAATGTCTCCATTCCGAACTTAAACATAAAATCATCAAGTACTTGGTTCTTAATTTAAACAAGCCTCAAAGATATCGCATTTTCTCTCAAAACCTACAAAATCTAGGTTATGTTGTCTTAGAGCACGCCTAAATTTGCCTCTCTCGAGCGCCGAAATTTAAAGCATCAAATCATTCAATTAGTGGCCAGTTAATTGAAAGCATTGCACAAGAATCATCATAAATAAATAAGCGGAAAGATTAACTAAAATAATTATATCGAAATCAAAACCTGTCTAAGTAGGTTGTATGCTAGAATTAATGTTTAGTCCATGGTGAAAAAATTAAATCTAAACAAATTGATGAATAACATAAGGAGAAAAAGAAAGAAAAACTATTTTGAAGCTTTTAATTGGAATTTTCCTTGATATTCTTCATGCCACCTTGCCCTTGATGAATTGTCTTCAATCTTGCCCCCTTCAATTGTTGTGTTTGGCCCCTCTTCTTCTTCTTCAAAATAGGGTTTTTTTTAATGTTATTTATAGTATGTTGGGATCTTGGACGAATTAGGATTGAATTGGGCCAAGAAAAGATTCCAAAAATATAAAAACATGTTTTCCTGCACATCCGGCGCCTCGACGCCCAATATGGGCGTTGTGGCGTCGGGCTTGCTGCAAAATTCAGATTCATGGGCGCTGCCATCTTGGGCGCCTTGGCGCTCAGTTTGGTCGGAGATGACAGACTGCACGTCCTTCAGTATTTTTAGCATAACTTCTTCGTCTGATGTTCGATAGAGGTGATTCAAGCTAACTCAAAGAGCTTCAACTTTGATTCAGACATCATTCTCCAACTCGATCGTTTGCTTTGTCAAAAAAGTCTCAATGTGAGGCTGAAGTTGCGGAGCGTAACTTTTCGGTTGGAAATTTATTTGTGATCATATTTTGCCTAAATTTGATCCCTTTGACATCTTTCGTCATCCAATTGACTCCCTCAACTCTCGGATCTTCATATGAGGTTCGATACAAGTTTTGATTATTTGTATTTTAGTCCCCGAACTTTGGATCTCTTACAATTTGGTCCTTTTCTCCAATTTCGTCAACTTTTACTTATTTCTTTCAATTTCATCGACCAACATCACAATATCAAAACACTCATTAAAAAGCTCTAAAAAGACTCTCAATGGTAACAAAATAATGAATTAAGTGGTACAGATATAATAAGTATGAATCACTCATCAAATACCCCCAAACTTAATATTTTGTTTGTCCTCGAACAAACACCAAACTAAAGAAAATCACTAACAAACACAAATAAATAAATATAAACAAAAATACTTAAAACAAATAGTGCTAGATATCTTGCCCTTATAGCTTAGGATTGAAAACATAACATCAATTTCATGAATACTTCAATGTTACAATGCACAAGCTAAATTCTCACTTATTCAATGCAAAAGAGTATATGTGTGGAGAGTTAAGTGCAACGCTGTACAATAGTAAATTGATCCAATTCCCAACCTTAAAAATCAATTTTTTCTTACTCCGCTCATGGGAATCACACACCCCAAACTTACTTTATTTTCTCTTCCCAAAGATATCATCTAAGGTGAATTTTCAATACAAGTTTCTTACACCGCTCAAGTTTGGTCAGATTTTACTAATTATAGTTCAACATATCAATAAATGAAAAATCTCCTTATTTTTTACTGTTCAACCTCAAGGAATCAACCAAGTTACTAACCTCTTATCAAAAGGTCTAATCCTCTAAAATAAGTGTTCGAGACTCAATCAATGCATGTTATGTCCATTTTTTCGATATAAATTTATTCTTTAATCACCCTTTGTGCGGACGTCTCTCCATTAAACTTTCTAAACGACCCCTGTAGCAAGCTTTAGGTCGATGACTCCTAAATCAGAGGACTTTAGGGCATCAGGTTTTAAACCCTTGCACACTTGATCGCTCGAGTCATAAAGACTACGAAGAGACGATTCACAATGAGATTATTATGATTGTCCTCATTGGATCTTTTTTTTTCAATGATTAGTGCAATGTCCCTTATCAAACACATATTCTCGAAAATTGACCTCTAACTTAAGGTTTTCACCCAATTTTCATCCTATTAATCTCAGACGGTCCACACAAAAAATTAGCATACACGGAATCCACATTTATCTCCAAGTTTCCCTACAACAGTGCAATCATCCAAACATTCTATATTTGGTTTAATTTATAATAATGTTTAAAAGTTTTTTGGGTTTAGCATCTAAGTTCTCTAATCCAACCTATAAATATGAATCAACCTACTCATGTACAACGCCACAATAAACTCACATGCATAAATATTTTTCGTTTCACACAGATAAGAAAAAGTCTAACTCACACATATAACTTATCCATAATCCATAAACCAATATATGTTCTCAATAGTATACATCATTGCCGACAAGGCTATCTAGCTCACACAAGCATACAAAACACAAAATGATTTTTTTTTTCAGTGCACCCTAATAAGAAAATTAAAAAAAAATTGCACACAAATCACTCAAAATACACAAAATAAAAAAAAAATATGTAGGCAATTAGAAAATTTATGATACACCCCCGTACTTAAACTAAACATTGTCCCCAATGTTAAATTAAAAGAAAAG